TTATTAATTATGTATACGTACGCGTGACATGATTCTTGACACACCAAACAAAACGAATACACGTACGCGTGATTCATTTTGAGATAATTTTATAATTACGAATAATCAAGCAATTAAAAGCGGTAAAAAGGTAAATGTGCATAGGTTCTAAAATAAGTAATTAAATAATTTAATTAAGCCAGGTATGATTAAATCGACCGTGCTAAAACTACGGAATTCGAGAGTGTCTCACACCTTCTCTCGGGTTAACAGAATTCCTTACCCGGTCTTCTGTGTTCGCGGACCGTAAAACAAAGTAAACTTTCCTCGATTTGGGATTTAAAATAAACCGGTGACTTGGGACACCAGATTTTATCCCAAGTGGCGACTCTGAATCTAATAAATAATTCCATTTCGATTAATGTCACTTAAATTGGAAAAACTCCTTTCTTTCCTATTCCCTCGGGAAAAAGGAGGTGTGACAGCTCTGGCCACGAAGTTTCATTTGAATACTTATTGTTCTCCACAAGGTCCGACTCACCTCGATTTCGTTGTAGCACTGACAATTCCAATTGAACCATATGTAAAGTCAGCCCGCTAGTGATATTATTCGCTCTGATACCATCTGTAACAGCCCAGCCCGCTAGTGATATTGTCCGCTCTCGACCAGTAACGACTTTAAAACACGTCACTAGGGTCTAAGGCTTGTTAACTTATATACCCAACATTCCTTTTGTGTTTTGCCGATGTGGGACTTTGTTTAAAGTCTGAAATGTTACATTATTGCATACACCCTTTCTTATGGACTTAACACCGAGGTTTGGCCTGTCTAACCGAGATTTGCCTAAACTCAGTTAAACTCTGGCCCACCAACGGCAAAGCTGACACAAGAGGGGCTCTGATACCATCTGTAACAACACATCATGCTAGTGATATTGTTCGCTCTGATACCATATGTAATAGTCCGACCCACTAGTGATATTGTCCGTTTTAGGCCTAGGTCCGCACGACTTTAAAACGAGCCCAAATCACACTTAGACATACTGGATCACGACCAAACTTCACACACAAGTTCCAACCAACAAAATGAACATATCCAAGGTTCCAAAACACCGCCCAGAGTTTGATAACGCCAAATTTCAATCTTAGCAAATTTCAAACCTTTAAAATGCAAGCTTCCGATAATAAGCGCTAAATCGCTCCCGGACTATCCAATGCTCAACCTGAATATACGTCCAAGTCCGAAATTACCTTACAAACCTATAAGAACCTTCAATCCCGTTTCTTAAGTCGTTTACTCAAAAATCAAACATTGGTGAATTCTTCCAACTTAAAGCTTCCAATTTAAGAATTATTCTTCCAAATCAACTCTGAACCTCCCAAAAATCAAAACCGACTACACGCGCAAGTCATAAGTGAAACTACACATAGTCTCGAACCGCCGAACGACATGCTAGAGCTCAAAATGACTAATCGGGTCGTTACACCCTCTGACATTGCGTGTCTCTCAAATGCTCTAATGTTAATATCCACGTCAAATAATATATGCCACGTTTTTTTTTATTTTTACAAAAACTATTTTTTTGTACAAAAAAAACTTAAATTCACCCATCTCTAGAAAAATTAACTAACATTGCTCTATCACCCATCTTCGCCTTCTACGACTAACAACAACCTCAATTACCTTTCCTTCACTATTTAAACATAATTTTCTTTTAGGCTCATCTTCACATTCACACCATTAGCACCATCAACTTGCCATTCACACCATTAGCACCATCAGCTTGCCATTGTCTCCCAACCGCATATTCTTACTTACCAGACTACGCTCCTCACTATTCTTATTTATCTCACTTCAAAAACCACCTGAAACCACCGGAAAGCACCACAAAAAATCACTAGAGTCATCGTCTCTTCCCCAACATCTTTTCTCCATCTTTTTCTATCTCCATTGCACTACCTCCTCACTCTCTACCACATAACTTAGATTTTTACCATTAACTCCATTATAAAATACCAAAATTATCCTCTTTTCCTTCAATGACCAACCAACATGTCATCGTCTGTTCATATTCTTCTACTATTACTACTAATATTTAACCCAAAAAATTCTAGTGGGCGTTGATGCCTTCTTATTCCTCATCTTGTTCAATGCGAAACAACTGCTTCAAAACTCGAACTTTCACTCCTCACTCTCAAAGATGAATTCTCCCTTTTATCCCGATGTTAAAATTACAATTCATATTTCTAATTAAATAACTCGAGAAAAAGTTATAACTATTATTTCCCTAATAACTAACTCTAATAATTTAACTTGTAATATATATACATGCCAAACATTCAAAATTGCAGTAAATATAACTATCACTTCCCTAATTACTAACTCTAACCATTTAATTGTAACAAATAATAATAACAACAACAAATCCAGTAATATATATATATATATACATACATATTAAATATTTAAACTGAAATAATTATAACTGTCAAATCCCTAACGGAATATAACCAACTTAATAGCACAAATAATGCAAACACGAAACCACAAGTGAAACCACTCTCCTATCCCCCGGTACTTCATTCACGTGGTCAATTCTCGGTTAGCCAACTCACGGCGTTTTTATCGTTTAACAGCAGATATACCATTTACTTTAAACCCCTACCTATAAATGTTTCTGCCACACTGAGTTATTAACACATACAGTAATTAAATGAGCACTAAAAATATATTAATTATGGGCTTTTTATAGTTTACCGAGAAGAAGTTATCGGTTCAAAGAGCTTTTGTTCCGGTCTATGAATAATGCCTTGCCGTTTCTGTTTGGCCTTTTTCCTACTTTCCCTCACCCTCTTTAATGGTGTACTCTGCTTCCATGAGATCTCCGTCAATTATCCATTTCTCAGGTGAGTAAAATTCACTGAGCTTTCTAAAATCAAATTATACTTCTTGATAAGTCATTTTTTTAAATTTTCTAATTTAGACATAATGAATTTGCAGAAAAAAAAATGGAAATTTTAAAGATTGTATGCAGATTCTGTTGTTCTGTCAGTTTGCAGCAATTTTCACTGATCAAGATCTAATTTTTCTCACTAATTTCTTAAATTTGACAAAACTAAGATTTCTTAGTCTGTTTTAGAATCTACATTCTGATTTGGTCTTCCACACGCTACCTCCATTGCAGAACTAGTTCTGCTTGTCTTTAGGGATCTGTGCTAAAAAGGAATCAATTGATGTAATCTCACAAATCTGAATAACAGAGCTAATAAATTCTGTTTTTGTAGAGTTTCTGATTTTCTGTTTCTCTTGTTCCTGCAAATTCTCTTCTTTCTTTTTTTGTTAATTTGTGAGTCATTTCATCTTTGATTGTTGCTTTTGCAGGATAATTTCATAAAAAAAAAAAAATTGGTACTGAAGAATTAATAATCTTCTCTAAGTCCTGGACAAGGTTGAGTTTTCTCATAAAAAATTGTTTATGTCAAATTGAAGAAGATAAAGGGGAGAAAAGATTGGATTTTTACCAGTTTTCCAGAGCTGCAAAATGGATGTAGGCCAAGGCAGCTCGATTGAAGAAATTAAGGATTTACAGACCAACACTTCATGGATTCCAGCAACTCCGGGGAAGCCAGGTTTTGCGACATTGCCACCAATTAGCAAGAATAGGCAGGAAACCCAGCCAGCTCAAGTTGATTGGTCGGAGTTGCAGACGAAAAAAGCAGAAGCAGTAGCAGCACATGCTGCTGGCGCCACAGCCGAAGCTCAAAATGCGGCTGCATACAATGGTTCAACAAGTTCAGTAACAGTAGATCAGTGCTTCACCACCTGGGAAGCAGCAGTAGGCACAAAATCGGAAATGTATGGAGGTGGTATAAAGATGTGCAATAACTTCTCTAGTGATAACGTAGACATGTGGACTAATGTGTCTTTCGGAGATCTCTTGGCGATGGCACATGCTGCTGGCACCACGCCCGCAGCTGAAAATGCAAAAGATGATACAGTTTATAGTGCGGGGAGTTCTTTCAAACCGCTCATCAGTTCCCAGAGTCCAGGTAAACAAATGAAGTATTCACTAATTCATCATTGTCTCGTGTAATTGTAATGACCCTACTGCTTCAAGGATATTCGGATTAAAACAACAATTCCATATATATGTCAAGAGTGTCTTTTACCTGCCTCATTAACACAACAGCATCTTCGTGCATACTAAGACCTGAAAAACATTAGCGAATGAAATATAACAAGTTTAGTATTACGTTCTCAGGTAAATTGAAACTTACATCTACTAAAGCATGCATGAACTTGCTTGCATTGAGTTTAACATTCTTGCCGGTACTCAATAAAGTTGCATTTGGAATAACAAATCAGAACGGAAACAAAAAGGTTACATACAAGATTTATGACACTAAGTTTTTCCTCTAATTGAGTGCTCTTCTATTGGGGTCTCATTCCAAGTCAAATTATTGATTTTTATCTATAATTAATAGCACATGCTTCTACATATTGTGTTTGGGTTTCATTCCATGAAAACAATTCGGCTAAGCATCAAACAATATCATGGTTTAGCTAACATGTCACAACCTAAAGAAATTTATTGCTTCATGTTTTGGGATTATTTCCTTGATAAACTAATATGACTTAAGAGGATCCATCATGCAGATGGAAGCTCTACTTTTCCCAGCTCCCCTTTCAACTTGAATTCACCCCTAAGAATGACGGATGCAATCTTGAGCAACGTACCATTCAAGTTCGAACCAGTAACACCAGATCTGATCAAGAGTACAAGGCAAGCATCTAATGCGTCAAACCTAGACATTAATGTTACTACATTACCAAGAGGTGTACAGTCAAATGAAGATACAATAAAGAGAACTGAAGCAAATGAACTCCAACAGAGCAGAGAGCAGTCGGAGCTGGTCTTAAATCAATCAGAATTGCAGGAGAATCACAAGCTTGACATGGAAGGCAAACAGGATAGTGAACTGAATAATACGCCAGAGCAAAAACAAAGAAGAAGAAAACACAGGCCCAAGGTGGTTGTAGAAGGCAAGCCTAAAAGGACTCCTAAACGAAGAACCGAAAAGCAGCCTGGTTCAGTGGAGACAAAAACAGAAAAGAGGAAGTATGTCCGAAGAAACAAGGTTGGCAGCCCTGCACCCACTTCTGCTGAAGAGGTAAACAATACAATTGACGAGGGAAAAACTCCTAGTTCCAAAGAAACCCCACCAGCAAAGAGGAAGTACGTCAGAAGAAATCAAGTTAAGAAGAGCACAGAAAAGCCCTCTGAAGAGGGGAACGGTGGAACAACTGAGCCGAAAAAAGTTTCTCTTCCTAGAAAATCCTGCAGGAGAACGTTGAATTTTGAATTTGAAAGACAAGCAAGTGATGAAAACTCATCATACAGGTCCTCAACTTTGGATTTGCATGCGAATCAAACCGAATCAACTGCACAATGTGTACAGTCTGCACAACTTGGACAAGGTGTGGAAGCCCCCAATGAAAAGACAGCAGTGGGAACAACTTATAACATCAACTGTTCCCTGAACCAGGAGCTGAGAAATTACTTGTCACAGCATGAAGTGCAATACCTTGGTTCTCCATCTCTGGACAAGGTTGGCTGGAATCATGATAAAGTCATAGTTGGTAATCAAAATGAAAGCACAAGAGGAAATTATAGAATCAATTTTTCAGATTTAACTCGTGATAAACAGGCAAGCATAGTACAAATGACACCACAGAGCCCGAATTGTTCCAACTGCAGCAGCAGCACATGCTTGCCACATGGGAAAGGCTTGAAGAGACAGCATTCATATAGAACTGATGAAGCACAATTCTACAGCTTAAATGCCAGGGGAGTGTACTTCAATTCCATGCAGGCTTATCAAGCAATCCTTCCAGCAAATGAACCTGAAGTTTATAGCAACCTAGGGATGCATTGTCCTGCAATTTACAAGAAAAAGAGAACAGAAGAGGGCCACAGCTCAGCAGCATTTTACATTAAGCATTTTACTAGCAAAATTAACTGTGTGCCTTCATCGCAGTGCAATATCAGTGGTTCCCCTAGCAACAATTCTTCAACCAATATAGCCTACAACAGACTGCAGAACTCCGATTTTGTGCCAGCAGTTGTGGAAGCAGAGAAGTTAAGGAAGAGGAGATCAAAAGGCGCAACTCAAGTGCATGAGTTAGCATCTGTGCATGAAATTTACAAACAATTTCAGACTTCTACATCCAAATACGCAACAAAATGCAGACTTGGAGAAAGATACAAGACTTCACATCTATCCAATGCATGCATGGAAGCTCCAATTGCGGACACCCGAGCACCGATGAAGACAAAAAAGCAATCAAAGAAAAGCACCTTTGTCAGCTCAACAGCTTCCAACATGTACATCCATCAACAATTCACAACAAATGCAAGGGGTACTTAAAAGGCATATTCTTAAAACAATCAATTACATCATAACTCTTTAGTTGCTAACTAACATTGAATGCAGGTCCCCCGCCAGCTTTAACATGGAGAGGCATGTCTCCAATTGATGAAATTGCAGAACACTTGCAGCGCCTTGATTTAAATAGAGAAAGCAGCCAAATTCAAGGTCAACATGGAAGTGTCACCTACCACACCAAGTTTCAAGGGGAGAGTGCCCTTGTTCTTTATCAAAGAGATGGAAG